TGGCAATGAATACAACAACCTTAGAATTAGACAGGAGGTATAAGGCAGGGGGATGGGAGGGTGGGTGGATTTCGCGTTCTTAACCTCTTTGGGTGCAGTTACAAAGAAAATAAGTGGAATCCCGATTTCTCCAACCCTCATTTTTTTCGCCCTCCCGATGCCTCGAACCAAGAGTCGTTTCCCTTTCCTCAGTCAAACACTGTAATTTTACCCCCGATTTCTCGAGCTATCCGATTTTTCGAACCAATTTTCCTTTCCCTTGGAGGTTCGAAAAATCGAGATTCCACTGTAGGCTCGATTTCCTTCGTTCTCGCGAATCCGGTTTAATTCCCTCCCCGAAAACAGCGGCTGGTAATCGAGTCTACAAAGATTATGATAACAAATGAAAGGGAATGAGTAATGCCTGGTATTAATTAGCACTTCTGAAACAGTTGTTGGTTATGTAGGAATTTTTTTTCGGTCTGGCTACGTTATCTAGATCTTACACGTACGTGAGAATCCTCCATTGATAGTTGACTGCGAAATTGCTGCAACTTAACGTCCTTATATCTTTCAAGGCTTTGACCAAGTCTTACCATCTGTTGAAATAACAACATCCATACTTATTATTTCAGAATTACCTTCTGCTTTGCTATACTGCAACTGGCCTGCAGTGCAAGCGTATTATTGGGGCGAGTTAGCGTTACAAGCTTGCGACCGCCATGTTAGACGGTGGGGGATGGGGGAGGGGAAAAATGAGAAGACCTCGGGCAGGCGAGATTTTCTTCGCTCCACCCCCTCCCCTATCCTTCCTCTTGCCTATCATTCACTCCCTTGATAAAACTTTCTTTCTCTCTCCAGTCTTCCACTTCATGAAAAATTCATGATGGCGGCTAAACTTTTTACGATGTGAGCGCTCGCTCGAAAAAATCTCGCCTGCTCTGCAGGCTATACTGCAACACGAAAACGAACAAATTTTGGTTATTTGATCCAATCTTTGTCGGGTGTAACACCATAACATAGCTTGCTGAGCCCACCAAACAGAGGATTTGGCGGTGCTTTGTTTTGATAACGTCTCTTTTTTAAGTGCAAATGATATTGTACCTTTTGGTGGGAGAGGTAAGGCATTGAAGTTTTCCCAAGTTAGAAAAACCTTCGTCAATCACCTAGCTTAGTGCAATTCATTTGTGTGTGTGTTGGGATTAGGGGAACGAACGAAAAGAATTGGGACCCACTTGCCAAGTTCCGCCATCCGTGCCTAATTCCTTGGTGCCCCGAGCACACTACATAAGTTACGCGCTTGAAAAAGCATGACTTCTTTCATGCGTTTTCGCCTATCGTTCACACTAAAACTTGAACGACGGAAAGCGCTGATGAAAACGGAGGCTTTCAAAGTGGAGCCTTTTGAAAACGCTCCGTCTCTTTTGTTTATAGGTGAAAACGGAGGCTTTTGAAAACGGTACCGAAAAAAGGGTCATTTTCTCTCGTTTCCATCAGCGTTTTCGGGGGTTTTAGTGTGGACGATAGGCCAAAACGTATCAAAAAGTATGCGTTTTCGAATGAAAACGAATGAGTGTGGACAGGTGAAGAAAAAACGAAACGCTAGTGTGGTCGACAATATTTTGCTTCGCTTAAGTTGAGACGAAAACAAAAAATTATAAAAACACATTAGTTGGGGCTTAAGTTTCGACTTGCCCGAATCAACATTGATCAAATCTGATAGTTCTGACCTTTTCTTCTAAGAATTGTGTCTTGACAGGAAAACATGACCAAAAATGTCTCAGTAGCTCTGCAAGTGAACTGTACTGAAGCTTGACTTCTGATTGCAGTGAAGAGGAGACTAAATCTGAAGGAACACAAACAAAAACATGTTATCACATAGACGGTTCAACTGTAAAACCCTACTTTACCCTGTAAGAAACTGCGCACCAAAAGTCGTAGTTCTGTACTGGAAATAAACGAGTAATTTTCATTTCTTAATCTCGCAGTGTTTCCTAAAAGTATTTTTTTTTTTGCCGTGTTATATACTGGAGAGACTTTGTGAAAGTTTTCCCGTTCTTGCAAACTTCCTCTCGTGTTCACTCGACGCTCATGTTTTATCGCCTGAACTGGAATTAGCTGGGAATGAAATGTGACCAGAGAAGACTATAATTACGAACAGCTTGACGACATATCCACTTGGGAAGATTACGTTTAGTCTGTATACTTTGGAAGCTAGTTGTTCTGGTTTAAACCCAGGACACCCAGTTACCATAACGACATACAGCACTGCGTTATGTTACTTGTAAGATCAGAGTTGACAGAAACTTTCGCACTTACGTTGCATGCTCGTTTCAGAAGTTGTCGTCATCAATGATCCTCCAGGGGACATTTCTGTAAGCACGTGACAGGCCATGTCACTGGAAAGGGCCTTGGTAACACGAAGCAAAAGGCTCAGTATTAGATTATTATGTACGATTACATTTCAGTTACAAGTTTCAATTTGGTTCCACGAGCAATGTTGGCGCGAAACCTTTAGAGAGATGTACAATTTACCACTTACCCCCGGTAGGTCGGGCTGCCAATGCTCTACCTCTCTTTGGTTGCACTGCACAGCTAACGAAACGTCTGTTTTGCTTCGTTTGGAGTGAAGCGATCCCCTTTCCTGCGAAAAAAAAAAACAAAACAAAAAGGAAACTGCAAATCGAACAGCATTTAGCGTTTTGCGGTACATAAAGGTATCATCTGTTATTCCAGATCGACTCTCTAGTATTCATTTGCATGCTTCAACAAGGCTCGGTTTAGTTAAACAGAGAGTGGTTGTCCTGCACTTAACCTTGGTTTATTATTTTCCTTACCTTGGGGACTGCAGGTATTAGACCTTGGGAAAATTTTGACGAATCAGCGATTTTTAAGCTGGGTAGTTCTCTGGCTTGTAGTTCAGCCAAGTCATCATATTCCACCATCTCGCGGAGACGACTCTAAAAAACACGAAAAGTGAAGAATTGTGTGCTTGCTCGGTTTGAGTTTGTTCATGATTAAAATGAACTGGCTAGTGAATCTCGCCCAAAATGTCCAAACCAACGTCAGTAGACATTCATCATGTTCCATTCCAACTCAGGCTCCTAGTCTAATTACATTGTCTTTCTAAAGCAGTTTTTATTTGAATATCGAAAACCTTTTTCGTGTTGCATCAACTACCTCACATGTTTGGCTAAAAAAACTCACGCCACTTTTTCATCCAATCAGAAGTAAAACCAAAACCAATCGCAACTCGCTCGCACGCGTTTTCCCGCGCTTTGCGTCAGCTACATGTAATTGCCTCGAGTTTTGATTGGTTCACTGTATTGTCTGCGTCCTTTGTGAATTACTTTGGTTTTGGTTTTACGACACTCAATTGAAAACCGTTCTATACTCGACACGACCCAACTTCTTTCACGTTGGGCGGTAAAAGGTGAGAGACCCTGGGAACGAGGCTGGTACATGTAACAACCTTTTTCCGGGTAATCTGATGCGACATCGTTTGCCTTGCAGGGCATTCCCACACTTGTCACTCCTAGCTGATATATATTTTTCTTTTCGCAGAAAACAAAGAGGGAAATGTTAGAATTGACTTGATATTCACTGCAACGTTATAGCAGATGGAAAACAATTGCCAACATAATAACCTTTTTCGCAGGGGGAGCTGCTTCCTTCGAATCACCGTTTTTTCCGTTTTTCTCCTTTTCTGCTGTTGTGCTGGACCTGAGGAAAACAAAAAAGAAAAACAACCAAATAACCTTTGGCTATAGTTCCTACTACTAGTAGTGTCTAAATTTTCGCACGGTTAGTAGCTTAGGCAAGTAAATCTGTGAGCGCGACGCTCGTGCGAGGAGATTTTAGCGCGCGTACTCGTGTGTGCGCGACTAACCATGAAATAAATGAGCGACAACTTGGGACCCGTCCACACTACCCTGGAGAAATTTTAAAACGCAGCTTTATTTCAACGGTTAGGCCTATCGTTCACACTAGTCCGTTACGAAAACGGAGCTTTTCGAAAACGCTCTTCAAACCGGAGGAATTTGAAAACGCCGGCTTTTCCGTTTTCATGTGGACGGAAAACGCAGCTTTTCGGAAACGATGACATCTGATCACAATAGTGATGTGATTTCACTGTCGGAGTTTTCCTCAAACAGAAGTCCAAAATGACCGGTGATTGTTGCGTTTTCAAATTTCTCCGGTGTACCGTGGACTTTTCCTGGAAGTCTACCGATCGTAATTCGACTTATTCCAATTTTCCGCCCCACGCCCATCACTAGGTGCAATTTGTTACATCAAGTTCCACTTTTTACATTGAAAAATTAATTAATACACTCTTTTAGCTAATAGCTCTCACGAGTTCCTACCCGGCAGCTGTGGTTTGTAGCACCATAAGGCCATGGTGGTTGAGTCTTCTAAACAAAGACTGGCTTGTTGCATTGTTCTTGGGGTCTGTAGGTTCTGCAGTCAGCCCGTAACCCTGTTAATTTGAAAGACAACTATGCTTAGTTGTATTCAATGTATCGAATGCTTCGGTTATCAGAAAAGTCAGAAATTAACGATAAGTAACAATATAGTACATATCAGGCTATTGGCCTCGGTGTCCAGCAATGTAAACAACTTACATCTTTAATTTCAATACATGCTTTTTACCTCATCTGGAACCGGCGAGTCTCCAGTAAGATCCAGTAAGGGATCTTTAAAAGCTGAAAGTTTCTTGGACAATTGCTCTGGATTGAAAACAGAAAGATCATGGTCAGGATTTAATAACTGCCTGTTTAGATCAGGGGTTTCATAGGTACCAGGCAAATTGACCGACTGTGAGGTTAATTTTGCCTGGCTGCTTTGACCATCTAGAGCACAGTTTTTTCTTATAAAGAAGTTCACAAAGTTTTGCCTGCCTGTGAAAAACAGTTGCTCCCCTACTGAAAACTTTAAAACCTCTGTCAGATTACAACTAAATGCATTGCAGCAGGTCAAATTGCTTTGCAGATTAAGAATTCATTCCAAGCTTTAAATTTACAGAATTGGTTTTTGAGTATAGAATAGTTCTAATCAATAGGTTTGATTGTAAACTTTTTTAACCAGTAAAAACACAAATCAGATTTCATCTAATTGCTTATGAATGAATACAAATTGCTTAATTACAACATACAAGTCAGATTGAGGTTTATGTTAGCATGACAAGACCTTAAGCCTATGTGCAAATATTTAGTATTTAGTTTATCTACATGAAAATAGTCATTGATTGTTATTTCTGATTGGAACAAAGGAAATACGACATCTGCACACAGGCTAGATAACACCTTGAAAGTAACATAGAAGAAAAAGGCCAAAAGTGGCTGGATTACTTTTCAAAATAGTCTTACAAATCAGCAAATAATCTTGTCTTACAGTTTTTTTAACCCTAGCCAGGATTTTTGTGTAATCAGTCGTCTTACCATGTTCATCCTCCTTTGCGCATTCAGTAAACATGTCACCTGGCGTTGCTCTGGAGTTGACCCTGTCTCTGTGGAAATAATGCGACTGGAAGAACTTTGTCCAAAAATCCTTCTCTGGCATCTGAAACAAAGAAACAGCATTGAGAACAAACAAACAAGAGAATGAAAAAATGAACCGATGAATGACTAAACAAGAGAGGTATGAATTAACAAACAAATAAAAAATGAAACAAACAAACAGGCTGCAGTTTAGACAGTTAAGCATAGGTATACAACAGCAGTGACCAAAATCAATGTGCTTTCAGTAAGCAAGTAATTCTCTGATGGGCATTCCAAAATCTGATGAGCAAGTAAATATTGTTTCAGTGACACGCAAAATTGACTTATACCTCATGTGGAACAACCTCTTGGTGCTTTCTTTTCACTGACAAAAAAAGTAAATAATTAGATAAAGTTAGAGTGCATGGAAATTGACTTGTGCACTGTCTGACACACCATGATGAAAGGGATCTGGGTCATTATTTTGAAGAACTTTACATTTATTCATTTTCTTTGCCATTCACCATTCTGCTATGATACAACACTTAACTAAAAAAAACATTATTAAAAGTTATATACATACATGTACTGTACATGTATTTTCTCACCTGCAGGATAAGTCTTAAATATTGCCTCAATGGTGTCAACATTCAAATTGTACTTGACTTCATTACAGCCAGAACTTTCTGGCTGCATATCAGCCTGCACAGAAAGAAAACATGCGTAGACACTGAATTTACAACTGTACAAATACATGTAGAATGGTCAGCGTCATTGGGGAGAAGGGATGGCACAGTGGTAAGAGCACTCACCCCATCTCCCCCTCCCCCTCCCACCACCAGCACCACCACCAATGTGACCGGTGTTTGATTCCGGCCCGGTGCCACATGTGGGTTGAGTCCCTTGTTGGTTCTCGCCTTGCTGTGAGGGCTTTTCTCTGGGTTCTCTGGTTTTTTTCCTCCCTCCACAAAAACCAATATCTCCAAATTCCAATTCAACCAGGATAGACAACTCGCATGCATGAAAACACCCTAAGGCTGATGTCGCTTCCTCTCTCTAAATATTTTAATTTATATATTTGTACAATGTACTGTACCTTACAGGCTTAAAAATTACACATATCTTGAACATGGACTTCATGACAATTGTGCTATTAATAGTACAAAATAACTAGCACAAAAGTGTATCAACAACAAGCAAAAGGGGCATCAAGGTTAACATACAAGTAACGCTGATGACAATCCCACAGCCTGCTCTGACTGTACAGCCTGGGTGTCCTGGGTCTGTGAGAAGAAAAACATTCAATTATGACAAAGTGCAAAATTTTCAGAAATTATTATAATAATTACATTGCCATCTCCCTCAATGGTCGGTGTCATGATTTTTTTTTCTCATTGGCATACACGTAAGAGACATTGGCAGAAAGGGGAATATGCTACTTGCCTGTGCCTTCAACATACAGTAGCACCTTCCACTGCACGCTATTATAATACCGACTGCCGTTTTTCAAACACACATCATCTTCCTAGCAGCCAGAACTTTACTAAGATATACATAATTATTAAAGAGGAGAAGGAAGTTCAATTTTGAGTTCAGTTTTGGTCATTGTGTAATGTTCTTGAGCATAACACTTTACTCTCACAGTGACTCTCTCCAGCCAGAATAATTAAATCAACACCACAAAGTTTGAGACTGAATGACTCATTATGCCATATCTCGCAGTTACCTTAGTTCTGTTAGCCCAGAACTCTTCAGCTGTGATGACTCCACTGACAACTAGATCTTTATAGAGTTGATACAACTCAGGATTGTCTTTCAGCACTCTGTGATCAAAATTAGGAAAGCAACAAAATTGTATTACACTGGTACACTGAACGCCAAACGTGATTCAAGAATTACTACCAAATTGCTAGTAAATGATTTCTTTTCTTTCTGGATTTTATGCATGCATGGCCACCAGCTGAAAAGCTGAAAATGTGATAATTACATCTATTAATAATCATTATCTATAAGCACTATTTCTAAGTATACACAGTTTGTATGCAAGCCAGTTCTTCCATCACATTGAAGATTAGTCTGTTTATAGGTTAGCTTTTTTTGTGAGTTCTTAATTGGATTATTTCTCATGTGTCATATATTGCCATGAGTATTTGTTTGGATGATTTCACTCATCATTTTGAAGAGTTTGTTCAAACCTTCAAACCTTCAAATGAACAGAACAACATGTATGGTACCTGTTCTTTTCTTCAAGCTCTTTATTTGCTTTTTTCCTGTGAGCTGGGATAAGCTGTGCCAAAAGCTCTTTTATTTCATCTCTTTCCTTTTTAGCATTCACAGGTGAGTCATTGGTAAACTGGAAAGTGAAATTGTTTCCATCATGAAGAACAAGCTGTATTTGTACTTTAGAGCTTCCTTCAGGACTTATCCGTTGAACTGTTGGCAATAATTATACCATAAATTATAACATTATAAAAAAATATAAATTATATATGATTTATAATAATTATATTATACCTTAAATCCTTTGTTCAGCATCACCTGTTTTGAAAGAACATTCCCTCCCTAATTAGCTCCCTCTTTATAAGCCCCATTCTCTATAAAGCCCCACCTTGTCTCCACTTTAATGAGCCTCCCACCCCTCTAATGGACCCCCTTCTTTCTCCTCTTGGATCAATAAATTAATTTATCCCCCTTTCCTTCCCCTTTTTCCTTCACAACCAAAACAATAAACAACAGAATTTATCATTTACTGGGTACATTTTACAATGAGTTCAGGCAGCCACATTTCTCTTTCCCCTTCCCATCCTATCACCCAGCTGCTTGGTACAAATTTTCTTTCTCTTCCCAACCTTCCTCTGCTTCCAAAATTGAAGATGGTGTCCCAAACATTCTACAAAGAAATATGGAGCTTTTGCTAAAATACTGTATGCCTGCAGTGCAGGTTATACCAATGCAGGTACAAATACACATCATACAGTGTTCATGATCTTTGTGGGAAAATATTACCAACGCTAGTCCTTAGAATAGCTGTAGTTTGTTTTTTATTGGACAATATTGCCAAAAGAATGACATATTTGATTCTCTCACTGGGGTTAAAAGCAATTCAGCAACTCTTTAACACCAATGATGGAAAGAAGAGGAATGAAGCACAAGAAGATCCAAGTATTAATTTAAAGTGGTTAGGGGAGTCTGAGCTTTCAATTTAAACAGCGTACTAAATTATGAAAATAATACGACTTGTCAAACTATAAAAATTGGAAATCAAAACAACAACTTCTAAATGCTTGCAACAAAACAAAGCAGTTCATGTTATAAATGTTCCTTTAATGGAATCAATAACTCCACACTACTCATCCTTAGGCTTTCTGAAATTTCCTGATATTGTTAAACTGAACACGTGTATGCTTTTTTATGATTATTTCCACCATGATAAGTTTCCTAATTTACCTGTTTCATTAGTATCTGAACTACATAATTACAGTACCCGTAGTGTGTCATCCAACCAAGTTGCAATAACTTCATTTCAAACTAATCTTAGGAGATTTTTCCCCAGTATTATTGGAAGTTTCTTTTGGAATAATATTCCGTAATCCATTAGAGACAAACCATCTAAAAAAATGTTTAGAAAAGCACTTTTACGCTGGTACCTTGCTCAATACTAATGAAAACATTATCTCTTTATAACTTTCTGAGCTATTTTGTCATTTTTCCTCTTCTTTTTTCTTTTTCTTTTTATTAATAATCTCAAGTCATACATAACTTTGAGGGGCACAAAATTAGTTTATCTAGATGTGCCCCTCTCCTCTCCTTCCAATATACAAGGTAATTCAATTTAAGTGATGTAATTTCTGTTTTTACGCGTTTTTTTTTTTCTTCCTTACAAAGCACTATCGGTTACTATTTACTTTCTTTACGTTATATTTACATATCTATGTATTTGCTAAGAATTGGAGGAATAATAAATAAGTAAATAAATAAATAAATAAATGCTTGCAATAAAAAAGTCTAAATGGAGCATTGTGAGCGATATCTTAAGATTCTTCAATGGATTCTTAGATAACGTTTTAACCTTACGTAACTGTGCCATATAAATAACTTACACTGAAAATTACTCAGGCAGACTAAACTGGTACACGTGACACGAAAGCTCAACTCACTTCGTTGACAAATTTTACCTTTGATTTCGGAATATGCACACGACAGCTTGGGATTATCCGACCCGTAGGGAACCCAAATCAAATTGTTAGACATCAGACGCAAAGTTCCACCAGTCTTTTTGTGCTTTGTGTTTATAACTTCAAGAAGAACCCGGTCCGCCATCTTGGATGGCACTAGGAAAGTAAGCCGCTGATTCTGTAAAGTGCATTCTCAGTTCCTAGGTAATTAGAACCCAGTCTTTTTAAGTTAGCTTAGCATGGCATGCGCATGCAGATACCGTATAATATCCCAAATGACTTGACTATTCATAATACAATTTTTAATATTGTCTTAGTGTAATAACTTTCATCTATCAATATATACAAAAGATACCAGAAGAAAACAGACATACCCAAGCCGAAAACAAAAAATATAAACAAAATGAAAAAATAAAAAATATAAAATAAATACAGTGTTAGGGGGCTTCTGATAAATAACGTACTGAAAATGAATAAATAAATAAATAAATGAATGAATAAATAAATAAATAAATAAATAAATAAATAAATAGATAAGTAAATAAATGACAGCAGCAAAAACAAACAAAAAAAACGAGCTTCCGAAAGCCATGTTATGACTAGGCTGGCTGTCCACCATCTTACTTAGATGATCGAAGCCCAGAGTAATTTTGCACTGATGGTAAGTGGCAGCTTTCGACAGTTTCTCAGCAGAATACCCACCCCCCCTCCTCTCGTGATACCACCATCGTCCCCCTAGGGCGCTAGGGGAACACGATCACAGTCCGGTAGTAGATAACACGGTAAAACAAACAGGAGAAAGACAGACCAACCGTGTAAAAATCTCTTGTTTTCTTGGAGTATAAATTTTCCGAGAGCCACCGTTCGAACCAATTCAGGCCGCAGTGGTAGAGGGCCTGTAATTGGTCGGTTTTAAACGCACATGGTAAAATCTATTTTCTCGTGCGTTCTCGTCAAAATTGACGATTTAGAAAGCAAGAAATATCAAAAGAAAAAAAAATAGCATTCCACTCCGGCGCTTTGCCATTCATTCATGATTCTTTGCTTGACAGTGCTTCAGCATATTTCCGTCTAATCTGAAACTATGAAACACGTAGAATATGTATTCGTTCAGTTATCATTGATGGAACTGATAGGCAGCATGGCAAGAATCATTATTACAATTGTTATTATTTGTAATATTTCCCAGTGAGACTTTATAATTATTATAACCAGGGGAGCCAAACATATTTAAAACCAAGAGTCGACCGATTTCAAGAAAATCTATTTTAAGGGAGGCATCTGCTTTTAAACGTTTTCGCAGTAATTGGAGCCTGATCAAACATTTGTATTATCTGAATACCCTGAAGACATGGAAAGTAATTTTTTCTGCCTGTTTTTTTAAGTTTTTGCTTTGCGTGACCTGAGAAGTCTTTTTCTTATCAGTCGAGTAAATTTTGTGGTGATAACAGTGACTAATAGGTTTAAACCCTTATAAGACAAAGGACGTTTGCGCCAAACAAATGGATTTTCTAAAATACAGTCGACATCGATCAAATTTACATTTCCCTCAATATTGTAACAGCAATTAAAACGCTCTTGAAATAGTTTAACTGGCACAGTCAAGGGGCATGAGACATCTGCTGCACAAATTCGAAGGTTTTCAATTTGCTTTAATAGGGAAATAGCACAGTGGTGAAAATATAACATTTAAATTTTTAAAAGATTGTAAGTTGATCTGTCAGTAAAAAAAAATTGCGATTAGAAATTGCTTCTTTGCCAGCTGCGATGAATTATTCCGGATGGATCGCGCGATCCGAGATCATTTGCCGCGAAAAAACGCGAATTGATTGTTGTTTGTTGCTGAAATAGCCGCTAGCCAATCATCTTGCACAGGGAAACAATCGCTTGTGATTGACAGATCCCGGATAATGAGGTTCAAAACCAACGGCTTTCCAACCTAAAGTTTAAGACTTCTTTTGAGTTCCTGTGGTCGTAGAAAGGATGCCGAAATTCGGGAGATTTGGGGCGTATTTAGTTTTTTCTAAATCAGTCCGGTAGCGGAGGTGTTAAAGATTTTGATTTGCCATGGCAGGATGTGAAATAAGGTCTGTGGGACCCTACATTCTGGAGGGAACTTTGGGCAGAGGGCAAACCGGTACGAATCGATGACTTTGGCGCTAAAAAATGGAGTCTGTGATTTCTCAGTCTTACCGCACGTTTAACCTCGTTGTTTCGTTTAAACAGGACTGGTCAAACTTGGAGTTAACTGTGTCACCAAGAAGAAAGTTGCGGTAAAAATCATCGACCGGACGAAGCTAAGCGAACAAGTTTTAAGCAAGGTAATAATTTCTTCCAAATAGGTCGTTCCGACGCAAAAATAAACTTCTGTGAAAATTGAAAGATTCTAGAATATTCCGAAGATGTAAACATGCAATTTGCATCTGATTGCGCGATGGAAATAACAAACGGCTTGACAGATCTGCATTTACATTGAGATTATCCTGTAACGGCCTTATCTGGCTTTCTCTGAAGCCAATATCCTTGTACAACAAGGGAAACAATTCAGTTTGCCTGAAGCGTGGTCCGTAGTATCGTCCTAATGTGTATGTTTGTTACTATTCCAGGTCATAAACACTTGATTTCGGTTAAGTTTTTGCTAAAACTTCCCCGTTTGAAATATTTATGAGTTTCAGGCTTGCTTTGTTTCCCTTGGAAATGCGGAATTGGATATTTCATTTGGCCTGGTTATTTCTGATAAATCTACGAAGTATCTGACGGAAACTGGTCGCTTTTTCTCGATGGTAAATCTTCCGTGACGAATATTGAGGTCCGTTCGGTGAGTCTGCCGTCAACGAGATGACATATGACGGTAATTTTCGACATGAAATAAAAACTCAAAACAAACATTCGCCTTTTCTATATCAACGCAAAACACTTTCGATTGTTTTGTTTTGAGTCACAGATGGAAATTTCAATTTCGCTTTCAAGCACGCATTTCGTTCCATCGGTTGTCGTTGGTTTGGAAGCGATTTCATCGTTCTCCGTGAAAGAAAGTCGAAGTTGAATCAGGACAGAGCTTCATCCGAATAAATAACTCTTGACATACGTGAAAAATTTCAGAAATTGCTTCCGTTAATTTCTACGTTGTATTTTGTTAGTTTTAGTCGACTATCTTTCTGTCAACTGGCCAATTAAAGGACTTTATTGCAAAACACCAAGATGTTGATTTCATCTTCTGTGTTCAAGAGATGTAGGTTATCATTTAGATTCGGTTTCAAATCTGTTTGTAATTTTCTGATTTCCAGGAAGTATATTTTAAAGAGTTTCGCTATGAATCATTTCCCTTTTATATCCAACTTACGAACGGATCACCTTTTTATTTCGTGGTTATGCATGGTCCGTTGTTTTTGTCTAATTTGTCCTTTTCGTTCCTAGCTACAAATTTTAAAACTGCTATGTAATTCTAGCTGACAATATGAGAAATGGCCTGCTTTTTATCATAATGTGTCATGGTTTGGAATATTTTTTTAAATTTATTTTCCTGTTCACCCAATTCACAGCAAGTAAATTTATCTTTGAAATTTCGAATTCACTTCCTTCAATTCATTACAAATTTATTGATCACACGTTTGCAGGGTACATTGTGCATCTAGTAATTGTACCCCTGATTGCGAGATTTGAAGGTTTTGTTTTGAGTTTGCTGTGGGTACATAAAAGAAAATTGTAAAATACATCATGTTTTCACTGCTGTTTTAAATGAAGTCGTAATCTTTGACAAGTAATTTTTGTCAGACTGGCAGCAGGAAATCGAAATATTATCCTTCCAGTGTGAGTGCTGCTGTGAAAGTCTATGGTTAACTCTTGTGGTTATAGTGTTTGCATTGTACATCCAACTGTGTTCCCATTTTAGTGATTTTGGTATAGTCTTCCGAGCATATCTTTCTTATAATTCATATGCAAATCTAATGTGTTTCACCGCAGCCGATCATACTTGAAATACACAAAAGACAAAACAACTGGTCAGAGTTAATGCTGATCTAGACACCTTGTTTTGTAATTTAGCAAAGTTTTGCTCAAGAAACTTTTTTTGTTCTCAGGTTTTAAAATTAATTCTATTATCACCTTAATTACAACAGCCATTACGTTCTAACATGGGTAGAGATATGTTTGATACATGCATTACATGGAACAATTTCTAGAAAAAGTGTACAAGTGTACTGTAGCAAGGGGTCTTTGGTTTGGAAGAATATATTAAAAGAATGATCCATCACAAAACAGGATTACAGGATTAGTGATGGAGAGTGCTATACTCGATTTCAATTATTGTAGTTAAGCCATTTGCACCATTTTATAATTTTAGTTCCTACACATAATTATACTAGGCCTCACTTTCTTTATGAAGACTATTCTTTTAACGCAAGACTATACACCATATTTTAGTGAATGTGTCAGCCCTCAAATTATTTAGATCTTCTATTTACTTTAAAACTTGCGATTGGAGGCTCTTCTAACAGTAAAAAAAAAAAAAATAAGGAACAACAATTTGACTCGCATACTGGTCTCTGAACATATTTTTGTAGACTGATGTGATTACGTAGAATGTGAAAATAGGATACTTATTACCAAGGCAACCAGAGAACAAGATATTTTTAGAATCAGAATCATGATGGCCGTTTCACTCTGTATTTGTATCCAGTGAGTTCTATATTAAATATACTTGTATCTTCTAAACCTGATATTTGTAGGAGTACTGTACATAAAGAGAAATCTATAAATGTATTTACCAAAAATTGGATATCTTTGGTATTGCATGACTTACTGGTTCTGTTCTGATATAAATAAGGAAAGCACTTATTTTTAATTTCCTGTGCCGATGGTGAAAACATGATAACATTTTGTCATTTTGTACATAAAGGAAATAAAATAGAATTCAAGTCTAATATCTTAACAGTGGCAGAAGGAAATAGATCAATTAACTCTAAGATATCAATATTGTTTTGGAAAGGAAATAAGGAACACGGTTCTTTATTTCTTGGCTTACATATTTCTTTAATGCCAAAATTTGCATTAACAAGTGGAAGAATTTGATTGCGTAGTAACAAATCAATTCTAGCAAGTGTTGATTAATTATGATAAAAGTTCTCAAGGTTCTAAATTTCTCCTTCTGGATCACTGTTCACTTTACTTTGTATAGATAAAAATACAATAGAGTGGAAGTACATGTACCAAATTATTAACATCACAAAAAAATAAACCTTCTGGAACAATGCTGGCTATTATTTTAATTGTTGGACTAGCTGAATAACCCTGTAGTTCAAATAATTTATACAGTTCTACCCAGCTGTGTTCGTTTACATTGCGTATTCTGGTTTAAAATGAAATTACACTGTTTTTCAATTTCAAGTAATGTTTTTAGCTTTGTTCTTTGGGAATAAAACATTGTTTAGAAATAAAGATTAAAAATGCTTTAAGGATATTTCAATGAAATTTTCCTAAAGTTATACGCTGCATTAGGTGCAGGTGTGTGGTGGTATGTGAATATAAAAGCATGACCATGTGTTATTGAATACAGACTACTGTTTAAGAAATTAGAATATTTTTCTCTGTTTCTGTTTAATAGTATCACTAGTTAAAGTTTAGTTGAATACGAAAATAATGCTGTGTCCCTAGCTTTCTCTGAGAGTTTTTGCAAAGTTTTCATCAGTAAGTGTTTTCTGGTAGAAACATATAGAGAGACACTCTGTAAGAAACAAGGAAAATTATCAAAAATGCAAATCTCTCCTGTGCACTGAATCAACATATCTAAAGCTTGCGCTACAGAATTCTTTGCCTCTAGAACTACAAAAAAAGATTATGCAATATACGTAATATATATGCATTAATTTTTAAACTATTAGATTATGAGCTCAAGATTTCTATGAGTTGATAGTTGATGCGACCAAAGGCCGAATCATAGAAATCATTTTGAATCTTGAATGAATAATTTGAGCGTGTAGTAATTATTGTCTTAGTAGAACTCTAAATTTTCTTCAAAAAATGATTTCCAATTATTAATAAGTAGTTTTACACCTCAAGCTCTTGCAAAATCGAATGTAGAGCGAGCTGACATTTCAAACTTGTAGCTGTTCCCAGACACCTGTCAGTTCATTGAACAATTTTGAGGTTTTAAAGCCACACTTGTAACAGTAAGAGTTCAATTTTCTTTTTCTAGTATTCTAGTCTTCTTGAGATTTGAATTACTGTCCAAATTTTCTTTCAAACATCTTCAGAGAATTGAGAAACAGGGTTCATACAGGTCCTGGAAAACCTGGAAAGTCCTGGGCGGGGTTGTATATGGTTGCTCAACCGATCAGATTGCTACATTTGCATTAGACAGTATATGAGCAGAATTCTTACTAAGGACTATTCTTTGTGGTGTGTGCAATCTGTACTTCAGTTGGGCAGTAACCTGTCAGGAAAAATTTCAGTGTGTTTCTACATTGTAACATGAGCACGGTGTTCTTCACACAAGATTAATTAATAAAGCATGTATATTGCATGCCGAAAGTGTCCAATTGGTTTTGTTTTACATTGTAGGTTGAAAGAGAGATTGCTATCATGAAGCTTATTGATCACCCTCACGTCTTGGGCCTCTATGATGTTTATGAAAGCAAGAAACATCTGTGAGTGGATGTTGTTGTTACATGTAACTCTTTCATTTTAACTTTTTAACTCTGTTACTGTAATTCCTCAGGGGTTTCATTAAGGACCAGGCACTGGGCAAATTGAGTGGCTGTGAGGACGGTTTTGCCTGTCTGGTTTGACCATCTGTGAAATTGAGTTGCCCTCCTGCTAAAAATGTTAATGAAATCCCTGAATTCTTTCAGTTGGTGTGTAATTCTGTTCTGTGGCTATTGTTGGAAAGGGGGGGGGGGACGGGGTGATTATAGATACCAACATTGTCAAGAGATTGACCTTAACTTCTAAACTTTCATCTAGTAGCAAACCAAAATTTACGAGGTGTCTTTCACCTCAGCCTGTTTCAAAACGAGCCCTTGCGTATACTACATTACCTTTCATATGGAAATAAGTTTGATTTGCAAGACAGTGAACCAAGCTTCAAATGAAACTCATTTCCATTTGAGAGGTTGTGCACCAAGAAATGTTTTCTAACAGAGGGAATAGTCAACTCGGAAATAACCCATTAGGCTGTTGAGGTATAAAATTGGGAAAAAAAATAATTGTCTGGTACTTGCCTTTGTGTGTTGATCAGCAGCAATTTAACTGATTGCCCTAATTTTCCCTTGCTTTATTTTTTCCAACAACACTTCAGCTCGAGTCATCCACTGACTAGTCAGAGGTTCTCAAATTCTGTTGGCCCAAACCCAGTTTCTACTAGTCCTGGACCAGTGGACTAACCACTAACCGGGCTGTAATTAAGTTTTGATTCACCCTAAGCCTTGATCTTCACACCTGTTGATACTTTATCTGCATGTATTATGGGTGAATTATATAAACTACAGCCAAGTTCACCCATCAAAACAAGGGCCCATCAAGGTGCATGCTCAGCCATAAGAGGTGCTACTGGTTACATCCTTTATTGACAGCCCTGACTACATGTATGGTTGATAGCTGTTAGTAAATATTAACTGGTTGCTGGCTGTGATCACGTTTTTTCCCTTTCAGATTTCTGGTATTAGAGCATGTGTCTGGTGGTGAGCTTTTTGATCACCTGGTGAAAAGAGGACGGCTCCCATTAGGAGAGGTAACTGTCTAAAAGTCTGTGACCTGGCAGGCTTGTGAAAAGATGAAAAGACATGTCTAGTAATTAAAAAGGCATCGTCTATGGCGTCCAAGCCTTATTAAGAGATACTCTTTTTTCCTGTTAAAGGCAAGAAGATTTTTTGCCCAGATGATCTCGGCAGTTGATTTCTGTCACAAGCATTGCGTTTGGTGAGTACTGTACATATTAATTATTTTCTAATAGTGCTGTACTGATGTTTTGCATCCTGTACATGAATAAGCTATACATGTACAAATGCAATATGTACATGCATATGATGGAAGCAATTGTTTCCTCAACCTAGGGCAGTGACTGCTTTGACTGCATTTTTCACTGCATAGGAATCCAGGTTGAGCAGCCTCGGTATGCCCTACAATGGGTTACTCCCCCTTGGATCAGGGTTTCTCATCCAGGGAGTGGAAAAAAATCAATTTAGTCTTGCTACATGATGCTATGCAGAAACCAGTGTCAAAGTACTAGTTTGTTAGCCTCTACACTGTACAAATAATAGTGCCATTTTAAGTTTGTTCATTTTGTTCATTTTGTTCATTAAAGCCACAGAGACTTGAAACCTGAGAATTTGCTTCTGGACAAAAAGATGAACATCAAGGTTGCTGATTTTGGAATGGCTTCTTTACAGGTAAATTACAATTATATTATTGATTGTTTTTTTTAATTTGCATGTACAGCTTATGTTTGTTTGTTTGGTCTCAAAGTTTCCATCTGTTTCTTAAACACAGATGAATATTTAGTTATAATTATTATTAAAAAAAACTAGCTGTGTGACTAATGTTAGGTGTGTTCTCTTTGTAAACTAACAGTAATATCTTATCATTTTTTTTAATAAAGTCTTTATGAATAGTCTGAGAAATTCAAGGCAAGTAATATGGAGCTGCCCTGAGTTCTTTGTCTCGCATTTAATCTAACCTCAGCTTTGTTTGTTCTCTTTATTGTTACTAGGTTGGAGATAATGCAATGCTTGAAACAAGCTGTGGGTATGGACATCATTCATAATTGCTTCTTACTTCCATGTTGCTGCCATTAATGGTTATAACGATTGTTTCTTAAAACTTTTTCCACAGGTCTCCACATTATGCTTGCCCAGAAGTTATTCGAGTATGTACCAGTCATTAAAAACAATAATAATGTGATCATAATCTGATTAGAATCTAAACGATTCATTTTAAATGTTAGTTATTAAATGCTGGTTCATAGAGCACTTGATTGCCTGATGAATTGTTTGATTTTTTTTCAACAGGGAGAAAAATATGATGGTCGCAAGGCAGACGTTTGGAGCTGTGGCATTATTTTGTATGCTCTTTTAGTGGTAAGTTATCTCAGCTGACAGTAATTTATGCCTACCTAACTCCATGTCTCTTTATTGCACTGATATGTATGAGTAATCATACAGTTTCGAGTTCAATTTGGAATTAATTTGCACGAGTGAGTTTTTCAAAAAGCTGAAATTGCACGAGCCACTATGGCAATTTCAGGTCTTTTAAAAAACTCACAAGTGCTAATTAATTCCAAATTGAACAAGAAAAACTGTATGATTACTTATTAATAATATTAGCATGAAAAAATTTGCGTGAAGGAAATGCTGGAAGATCTTTCTTGAAGCCAATTTTTCTCATTCAAGAATGTTCAAAGTTTCCACACTAAATTTTTGCCGTCATTTTGCGTGATATCATTGGCTTAGAAAATTTCCTATTTTCTTTCAGCCAATCAGAATCGAGTATTTTTTTCATATATATTGTTAGCTACAAAATATGTAGATTTATTTACATGTAATACTTCATTAAGTCCATTGCACCTCAACAGTAACTGGCTGTGGGCAAAAATCACCATCAACTTCATGGTCTCTGCCGGCTATTTAAAAAATAATAATAGCCCTGGTTGAATTGGGATTTGGAGTGTTGGCTTTTGTGGAGGGTGAAAAAATGGAGAACCCGGAGAAAAACCCTCAGAGCAAGGCGAGAACCAACAACAAACTCAACCCACATATGGCACCAGGCTGGAATCAAACCCGGGACGCATTGGTGGGAGGCAAACACTCTCACCACTGCGCCATCCCTGCTCCCCATTCTGTTTGATATTCTGTTGGTTATTCCAACCATTGAATGATTCTTTTGAAAACGGTGGCGAAATCAGCTGCCACTCCAGCAATAGTGCCACCTTTTCAAAATGTTGTGACAACCCTATCAGAGAGACTTTTTATACCATTATGTGCATTGAAGAAATTTAATTGCCATGTACATGTAAAAAAACTGTTTGGTATTTAGTTTCCCTCACTGACAGTAGAGTACAAATATCAAGTAAAGCATGAAGTACAAATACCTGGCCACAATAATAGTTGTTCTATAGGAAAGGAGTTACATTGTAATCTGTTAGTTAATCTGTTCACTGTGAACACAGTTCAAGTCCAGATATTTTCTGAAAAGCCCAATTTTTAGTTTGTCTAGTTTCACTTCACCGTTTGCTCATATCTAATAAGTCAAAATACATGTACAATGTTTACTAAGCCATGTAAAATTGAAATCCAATGATTTAAATCTATTTTTCTTGATAGGGTGCACTGCCTTTTGATGATGAAAATTTACGAAATCTGTTGGAGAAAGTGAGTGAATTTTAAAGTGGTTTCATGATTGCCTTGTGTTTGCAGTTAAAACGTTTTGACTTAGATCGGACGCTAAAATGTTGGTAATCAAACTGATGTTTGTCTAACTTCAGGTGAAGAGGGGGCATTTTAGCATTCCAGTCTTCATTCCAACAGATGTTCAGGAGATGATCCGTGGCATGATTACTGTTGACCCTGAAAAAAGAATAACAGTTGAGTAATAGCACTGATCGGTATAATTTTGCCATTTTGTATTTATTCCCCCAACCCCACAAAAAAAAGTACCTTCCAGTCCCGGGACATAGGCTGTCAACAAGTGTCTTCCTGGCATCTGTGTCTACATGTAGGGCTTTCCTCTCTTGGGCATGGCAGTCATGGAAAGTAACATTGCTTTTATCTTACTTGCAGATGGAAGACGTTAAGAAACACAGCTTTCTTAACAGGTATGTGACTTTCTCTGTAGCAATCACAGTGAAGTGACATTAATTAGTTTATTTACATAACCAGTTAAATTGAATAGTTTTGCTGAAGCACTCCTTCAGTTCTCATTGTAATATTGAGTGCACACTTTATATAAGTTACTCTTCATGTGTCCTTCTTGCAGTTTCAAAGACGAACTTCCATGTGAGCCACATGTTGTCGACATTGTCAAGGTATAATGTAACATTCACTCTTATCTTGGTCTGCTTGTTTAATGACATTACCTATAATTGCCAAGCCTGTATTATTTCTGTTAGAACTTATTATATTTTTAGCTTAGAAAGATGTCTTGAAGCAAAGGCATTACAAAATTACAGTTTGTTAAAGTGAGAAAATGATGTGCAGCTGAAGTGAGTTGGGACGGTGATCCTACCTGATCAATGTGACATATCCGCGGTGCATGATGGGAAGGTTGGATGTAATACTTCCGAATATACTGTGGCTTTCCTGCATTCTGATTGGCTCTATTTTCTTTGGCATGTTATAAATTAGTATATTATTATTTTGAAGAAGTGTACATGCGGTGTCAAAGTCTTGAGTGTGAATGTTAATGACTTTGTTTGATCTTTCCGACAGACGGAGGTTATTCCTGGTAAAGAAGAGATCGACCCTGATGTATTACACAGTATGTCATCCCTGGGTTGTTTTAAGAACAGAGAAAGACTGCTACGCAATCTGCTGAAGCAAGAGTAAGTCCTCTATAAGAGACTACACTTCACTACACAGCTAGCACCACTGTACCTTAACAGTTTTAAAATATGCATTAAAGAAGGGCGTAGCCCTTCTTAGCCCTTCTTTAGTGTGGAAACTTTTAATTTGGGTTCGGTTCGCGCGACTGTTCATTTGAAAGTAACGTATATACGAACTGTTCGGAGTATATTTGAGTACCTCCACTTGGAAGTATTTACTAGTACTAACTACTTTACAGTACGATTTAATAGAAGGTTCGTGAGAGGGTGTTGAAAGACCTTTTAGTAGTCTGTTCTAAGGTCATATAAAGGTTTATCTTTAACCCTTTAAGTTGTGTGCTTTGATCCTTTAGAAAGACGATAGAGAAAGTCATCTACTTCATGCTACTGGAGAGAAAAGAGAGATCACCGACTCACGAAGATGCGGCAGTGGCGACGATAAAGAATTTGAAGGAAATTTGTAAGGCATTTTGAGCAATTCTATTTTTGAGTATTTTTTTTGTATATTCCAACCAATCAGAGCACAGCATTTTGTTTTCGACCGATCAGATGCAAAACAAACCTTCCCTCGGCGCACTTTGCACGGGACACTCATTTTCGCGCGCTTTTCACCTGTAACACGTTTTCGCACGCTGTGCTAAGGTGACTCGTTTTCCCGCGCTTNCAAAACAAACCTTCCCTCGGCGCACTTTGCACGGGACACTCATTTTCGCGCGCTTTTCACCTGTAACACGTTTTCGCACGCTGTGCTAAGGTGACTCGTTTTCCCGCGCTTTGGACTGGTAACAGTTTTTCCCCGTTTACTGACTTTTACACCACTTACACGTTCCCGCGCTTATACGTGTGTCATGATACTGCTTCAAGATCTGACTGGCTTATTATGCCCTTTGTTAGTGATTAGCTGTCAGTCATTTCTTTGGTTTTAGTTAAGTAAAAATGTGCAGAGCAATAAAACTAACTATTTACTATAGTAAAGAGCTAGTCGTTAACTTTGGCAGGTGAAAAAACGATGTGGCCGGTATTAATTTATCACAAGAATATTTTCTTGTTTTGTAGTGGAAGATGCGCCGCGGAAAAGAGTCGATTCTTGTGGATCTCCAAGATTACAACGACCAAGGTACCACATGCTTGCGAAATAATCATTGATTGCAGGCCAGTTTTTCCATATGGCCCGTGGAATTTTTCAAAAGGACTTACTTTTATTTCAAAGTAATAAACCAAGATGCAATCAAAACATTTAGCCTTACCCGAAAGTAACATGAGCTGGTGGAATCCGTCTCAAAACGACAAGAACACTTATTCCTTGTTACATTTGTTTACTCTCTAACTAAATTTCAGTCTTAGCAGCTCGGAAGGAATAGTTAATCATAGCGGCATGCTGCGTTCAGGATAGGGAAAAAGCTCGACAAGATTAGAAAAAAAATAGTTGGCCTTGAAGTCAGTACTTATAAGCTTGTCATTGACGTATTTCTTTCTCAATCATCGTCTTTTCATGTCACGATTTCCTTTGAGCAGTTTGTTTTGATTTTGTCTGTAGAAAGTCGTCTCTGTCGGCTTCACCACCTGTCTCTCCAAGAACCAGAGCAGAGACTTACACGGGAGGTGTGAGGTATCGTGAGTACTTGGTGTAAATACTATTATGTGTAGTTTAAAAAAAAAAGTGAACACGTCTACAAATCACTGAATATTGAGTACATAATGTTTGCGCACTTGGGCTAATCCTGTCTGTAAACTCCTCCATCAGCCTGATATAGGGGTTGACTGAGGAAGGAGAGGGTAAAGTTAAGAGACTTGACAAACTTTGGCACTACCTGGCAGAATTGTGGCGGACTCATACGTCACGATGCTACAACCAAGAATCTAACGACCATGAAAATAAGTGACTGCTGGGTCTCTTGTTTTGTTATGTAAGCGCAATTTCGCACGAAAATTTCCTTTTTAGTCGCCGGTAACTTCTCAATGTTCAGTGTTATAGAAATCGACCATATTTTCCCATTTGTACATGTACACCCTTTTAGACAACTGAAATTTCCAAACCTCATGTAAATGCACAGGCAAGGTCTATAAGCGAGCAGACTATTAAAAATATTAGGTCGACCTGCCAAATAATGGATTTGTTTAAAAAGAGGCTGTTTCAGTGAGTAAACTAGATAGGCCATTTCCGAATTACCTTTAGCCTCTTTCCCAAAGCGAGTCTCAGTGTCCATCCTTTCATATTAAAATGCGATTTCATTCACATGCAAATTAAACTCATTTTCATATGAATGGTTGTGCACCAGGCCTCGGTTTGATAGAGAAGCTTAGGACAACTCGAAATGGGCTGTTGTTTGGTAACGCAAATGCACCTGTCTACTGTCTACAAATGCACCAGAGCTGCTGGCTACAAGTTGCACTATGTGGAGCTGGAGTGCTTTCATTCGTTTGTTCCTCAGTGTTCTGGTTAACGATTTTTACTCATGCTCTTTTATTTTCATAGATGGGTGGACCCTTTCCATCAAGGAACTTGGTCTGCTCTTGTTTCATTGCTTTGTATTTCAATGTTTGCAGTCCTTTGGTACATGTGAGTCCCAAACACCAACCGTCCAATCATCTACAGCAAGACAGTCCCCTGTCTAGCCCCCCTGAATCACCTACACACCACGCCACCACGCCCCCAGGGAGCCCCTGGAGGACACGACTAGCCACCTTCAAGCACGCAATTGTTGGGTCGCCAAGATTCCACAGGAAAAAGCTATCACAGAGTACGTTTTGATATGTTAGAGCAGATTTCTAATGATGACAGTTCTAACAGCATTAGAATACTGCCATGGTCGCTGTTTGATTTCGCGCCAGATTGGCTGGCCGTCTTGAACAGCGCGTGAAATATCTTGGCCCTGATTGGCCAGAGCACGTTGCGCGGGTTTTTCAACCAATTGTGCATCAAAAGTTAGGAAATATCGAACCAAAACAACCACGATAATTTTCTTTGAAAAGAAATATAACGTGAGTTCATTTAGTCCCCTTCATATTTAGCAAAACATTTGACAACAAAGCTAGGAGTTACAGCCTTCGTCTCAGTGTAACGTTGACTATCTAATTTGCTAATTGTGTAATCTAATCCTGAATTTCGTTCTGATTTCTTTTTTCTTCAGATTGTGCGGAAAGCAGTTCAGTTTCTGCCTCACCAGACTCATCCCCTGAGTAAGTTTTATTCTCACATTTGTAACAAGGAGCGCGTGTTTCAATTCGGTAAATCCCAAAAATCCAATTGTGACTCTTTCATGCGAGTCCTCAGGTTCTGTGCACGCTTGCTAGTAGAAGTCTCGGCTTGTCTTCGTAAGGATTCATCATTTTACTTACATGTAGTATAAACCTACTAGAAAGCCGCGGTAGTCGCGGGCTCATTTTCAGTCCTAATACAGAATAAGTAAAATGTTTTGAATCTTTTTTTAACGATTTCTCCACGCAGCATCGTGAAGCGCTCATGGTTTGGTCATTTGATGTTAGCACACAACTCACACCCAAGACATGAGGTAAGACGAATTTTTTTGTTCTAATCCGTTTTAAATACTCTTTCCATTTACACTTAGGTAAAACCAGGCAATAGAAAAGTGGAATCGGTAAAATGCCAACTTGATATAACTGTGTGCCTTTTTAAGCTGTAAATGAGATTTTTTATTGGACGTTGTATGCAACAGGAGTGCCTAGCATAGCCTACCCTAGCCTTAAAATGCCAGCGTGTTTCATAATAATGTACTGAGATGACCTTTGTTGTTTTTATCTCCTAGCCGTTCTTTATCATCACGAGAGAAAAACCCTTTAGCACCGTTAAAGCCGACGTTGTTCATGCATTTTTATCCGTAAGTAAACCTTTACAAAGTTTTATTGCGCTTGTTGAAATATAGTTTTTTTTACGTTACGTCAGTGCTGGGTTGGGTGGGGGGAAGGGGGTCGATATAAGGAGTAACCAATCAGAGAGTTGTATTTCGGAGACGAGTCCAAATGAGTCCAATCGGAGGGAGGCTTTGTTGCGTGCCACAGCTCACGTGTTCAAAACACGACACTCTGATTGGTTTCTCCCCATATGGGCACCTCTTACTACTGATGTCTCTCTGTGGCCGTTTTGGTGTTGTCAACAAGTGAATTCTCTCCGTTTGGAAGAGAATGACCGTTATAGCACTGTAAATGCTCTATGCTTTGATTATAGTGTGTGGCAATTATGATTCAGACAAACTGAAGGTACAATCTTGAAGCTATTTTATGTTCTGCAGGTCAGTCACTTAACTCACTCCGTCCTTTCACAACACGGCTTTAAAGCGGAATACAAGAAACCAGGAGGTATGTTGAAACTGGCCTCATGTGGACGTTTAAACATTGGGGAGGGGCTGTCAAGGGGGGGGGGGNGGAGGGGGAAACAATATACCCGACGATTTTGAAGCTACTGAAATCATAAATTATAGCCAACAATGTGGGCCATTTGCCCAGAGTGCAAACTCGCTCATCTTATTCAGACGCATTTGGAAATTACATTTTTAAAGTTAAGCTCGGAAGAATGTCCGCACTTCTTGTTTCATAGTGCTTAAAGTATTTCTTATTTCTTATTTCAGGCAAGACGATGTTCAGGAAGACGGTCCGTATATCGGTCAATATTTGTCCAACAGATCAAGCTAAACAGGAGAACAGTTCCATTCACACGATCTCGATTGTACTAGAGTCTGGTAAGTAAGTGTTTGTAAAATCAAGTTCTCGATAGGATGGTTTTCAAAACTTTGCGAGCTCTGGTATAAGTTTCAACGTTAATAAACATTTGCTGCAGCCAAGTGTACTTACGAAGCGAGAGGACTTGGCAAACAGGAATGTTGAAAGGAACTTTGCCAAGTTAACTTGCGTATTAGGGAAGATTCATGAGCGAAAGGGATGGGATAAGTGGAGGGACATGAGCGATCGTCAGAGGATTGGGGACAAAGACTGGTCCCCAATCCTTTCACGGTTGCTCTTGGCACTCGGTTCGAATTTTCAGTTTTCAGGTGCCGAAGTTACAATTAGCAGCAGCCGTTGATGGTTATCGGAAATTCTAAGTTCCTTTATTTAAGTATGAAAATTGTTATTCGGTTTTCCTAATGTAGCGCGCGAATTCAGACGGCCGCCGCAGGTGTTTCTAGGCTACCAGATGAATATTACATTTTGGGGGGGGAGGGGGGAGAATTATGACACGTTGAAAAAATCAAGGCAAATATTCAATAAATTTTTCCTTGGAAGACTGTGGAGCAAACAATTAAGTATTTCCTCTTTCCTCTAATGGAACTTTTGTCTCGTTCTTTTTTTTCCTTTGGTTTTAGGAAACGTGACTTAAAGACTGTGATTGATCAATATTTTAACACTGTTTTTAACCGCAGATGTTTTTCGGAGAATTCTTCCTTGTATATTTTTACTGCAGTCAGTTTTCTGGAACAAGGAGTGTTAAATAATTCACGTATTGCCTCCATCAATTTGTCAACTAGGCCTTACATGTTTATATATTAGAGTCACGTCCGCTCTTTCAGTTCCTGATTAAGTTCAAGTTCGTTTTTTTTTTTTCCAACATTGCTAGTGTAATCACGTGATCAGGGACATGATGTCTTATGTCACGCTGTTTAACCTTCCATCTTTGTAGTCATGCCATCCATTGGTGTAACTGTTTTATCCGACGCTTATTGCTAGTAGAAAGGCAAAAAAGAGAGATATAACAGAAAACGCCGACAGGAAGTTGTGTTCTGAAACTGAAAAAGTCTGGCAGACTTCAACTTCTCAGTCTGTCGAATCGCTGATAAGTAATTACAGTTTCGCTCTCCCGTCAGCAGTCACTTGATATTTTCACAAGCACATCGCGTTGAAGCAAAGTAGTCAAGTCATAATTTTAGCACTGCCTTGATCACAAATGCGGCAAAATCGTCGTAAGTGTCCCGGTAAAAACGACGACCATGTCGGCGAAAAAGTGGAAAATAAGATGTCAATATATACGAATAGAAAATTCTTATAATATCATATTATCCGTACATCATGATTTTGCAACAGTACTACAATTTTCGCACAGGCGACAGAGTCTGTAAACAAAAGTAACGGAGGATGATAGATCTCATGTGAACTTTGATCTCACTCTCTCGTGCTCTTGACTCCTTCTTTCCTGTTTCTTATAAGCATCTTTTTATAAGAATACCGAAGCTGAAATTTGCGAAATGTGAAGAATATTTTATGAATAAGCCCGAGACTGAGATTTTGAAAAGAATTTTATTTTGTGTGTTGAAAAGTTGTAAATACAATACAACTGCATGTTTTTAACCAAACCGTATAAAATTCTTCCTTTCTGTAAACGGCAAAACTAGCCAAAATGCAGCAAAAACAGCTCTAGCCGTATGTTCGATGCTAATAAAATTTCTGCAAAATGTTAAATGTGCGTCGTATCAGGCTTCAATGGTGGCTCCAAATTAAAATTAACCTAACACCATCCAGACACCAAATACATTCGAAAACAGAAATATCATTCGCTATAACGTACGAGTATTCACAAGAATATTTTCAGCCTAAAATTGGCGGAAAAGTAAGAGTATTCAACAATATTCTTATATAAAAAGGCAGAAGCATATCACCTGAAGGTGATATGCTTCTGAAAAACGTGTATCCACAATTTCTTTCTCAATTTCAGGCCCTGTTCATCGATTCAAGAAACTGTGCGAGAAACTCCAGCTAATTCTTCTGTCCAACACGCGGCGAAGCACAAGCAATTGCCGGGCAGAGGACAACAGCAATGAGGAAAACCCCGCATCAGACGAGAAGTGTGGCAGTTCTCAGAGTTCTAAACTGCTACTTGCTCAGTTATCAGACACAGAGAGTGAAGGAGAGCTCTTAGACAGTCCCAGAGCATCGAGCAAACCTCTCGCTAACAACGTTAATGGTAAAACCGCTGAAAAGCTAATTTGAAAAGTCGAATAAGGAGCTATCAGCGACGTTCATGGAAAATCAATGTTCGTGTCAAAACCAGATCCCGTCAGAAGTGAAGGAATGTGAAGAAAATAAGAATAAATTGAATGGAAATGTAGTTAAACTTCGAGGTGACATGACGATGTACACTGTCGACTGAAGCAACTACACATGAAATTTAAGCATCTAATCGCTCGATTTGGATGCAAATTATTTACTGATTGCTGGAAATCCACGACAATCGAATTGAAAATGTTACAAAATGAATTTTTTTTAAATCTACCTGTGAAAAATGATTGGATGTTAGCTACGAGATAGGATGACTGATGATCGTGATGATAATGACGACAACAAAGATGATGACGATAATGCAAACAGATGCGATGATTTTAGAAACGATCAAGACATCAACTATATTACAGTTACTCACCAAAGATGACAATAGCTCAGCAGTCCTTTGAGTAATGTGTCTCTATGAACTAAAAGAAGTTTTAAGCTTCTAACACCAGTGCTATTGCTGACGAGCAAAAATAACTAACTATTGGCCCATCCTGTAATGCGACGAAGTTGACGATGGATGGGACCCTAGCAAATCTACCGCACTTCTGTAAAAGGTAGTAATAAAGTAGTCTAACAATGAATAATTATTCCGCTCAAAAAGTTGATGTCGGTTGCAAGTCGCTGTCACTAGGCACTATGTGCGTTTTACTCTGTAATCGCTGATATCAAGACGCAAATTCTTATTACAAGCCTCCATACATACTTTGTTGAACAAGTTGGGAGATTATGATGCAATCTCGCCATGTTGATCAGACGCTGATTTTCACAACTTGCAACTTTGTTTTGATAGTTTCGGTGACAGTAACAAGGCAGGGCTACTGCGCATACACTCTCAGACTGAAAGGATCGCAGCATCTCTAGTGCCGGTGGCTTGTTTACTATGACAACGACTATCATAATTCAATTAATGAATTTAAGGGGGCATTGTCCACATTTTTAGCATGATTTTCAAGAGGCTAAAAATTTAAAACCCAGCAATGATCTGATGGAACATTACGCAGGAAAAGTAACAATGTCGACGGCTAAAGACGAGTGATTGAACGGAAATTCTTGAAAGCATAATACTCCACAATTGAGTGTTTGACGTTTAAAATTTCTCTTCTCAGCGATCAGGTTTTGTAAATGAGTACAGATCTCAACAGCAACCTGTTTAATGCAGTAGGTTAGGGTTCAGCCTTTGGCACTGCCCCTTTAAATCAGTCATTCTTATATCCACGAGAGGAATCTACTCTACCCTTATTCCTGTCCTCAACTCCAGCACACAGCAGTCACACAGTAGCATAAACATACTTTTATGAGATTTTCCGATTCTGAAAAACCGTTACTACCTGTACTTCTTTGTTGCCTGTCTCTTGATTTGTACAATTTTTTACTTCTTTGACTTCTGACTCAGGCAGGTTCCGACGACAAAAATCCTATTTCTATTTATCAATTGTACTTTTTGTGAACAACTTTATTTAAGAGATTGTATGTTGAAAAAACAATCTGCGTAAACTGGATAATTTAATATTAGTATCAGTACCTTTTTCATCCACTCGTTTTGTAAACTCTGTTACTGCTTGGTTTATGGAACCTAGTTCTTTCGTCCAAAATCATTTGGGTTTGGGAATCGAGAGTGAACTCTTAGGTTTTCCTAGAGAATTGCTGGCAAGATAAAGCAAGTGTCTGCTCCCGTCTTGTAAAACCTGATCTTTTTAACCAAATCAAAAACAAATTGCTTATTTAGAAAGATACTAGAAACGTATTAATGAACCGAAAACGGAAAAGGGATGGATACGATTTGGGAATACTGAGAGGTATTAACGGATCTCAGTCACGGTACTTTGAGTTATTTTGGCCGTGTACAAAATTACTCTTAAACTAAAGGAAACCTGAAAATAGTAGTTTACTATGATGGAAAAACACCAAAGAGATAATATTAATCCATAAAGGAACAGGGATGGTTAAGGATGGAGAAGATTTACACGGGTTACAAACGACGAACTGGAAAAATTTAGGCTGCACTTTTCAAGATGCTCAAACGGTGACGAAGCATAGCTAGGCTAAGGCTAGAAAATGTGGCACAACCTGCTTTTAAAATATGAAACGCAAAGGCAGGCACTTTCTTTTTAGATCACGGAGGATGCCTTGCGTTCATTCCCGAAATTCTCGACATGTTACTCTGTATCCTATTGCTAATCTCTAAGTTCACTTCAATACTATACACAATGGACACGAATGAAATGGAATTTGTCATTATTTATTAAACGTACAACTCTACTGAAGTATTTTATATTGCGTCACTTATTAGGACAAGTAAAGGTCTGTCTGTCTGTCTGTCTGTCTGTCTGTCTGTCTGCTCTCTCCGCAGAGACCTCTTTCGTGCTGCCTTGACCGTAGGCTGGTAGTTCGGAGGCTTTCCCATAGGGAGTCTCTACGGAGGAGAGAGGTCTGTCTGTCTGCCTGTCTGTCTGTCTGTCCCCAGGTCACGTGACTATTTTGTTATTTGTTGCGAGGAAAATGTCATAAGGTGGCGTAGAGGAGCATTTGGAAACCATGATCAGCTCAACGAGACTTATTCAGGGTTATCTACTGTGGGTGCTCTCAAAATTGGCTATATTTAGGATGCATTCCATTAATTTTTCTCAGATTGACCAGTCTGTTGTAAAATAAAGCGAAATTTTCCAATCAAACCCGGCCCACCAAGAAGAACGGGTCTTACCATATTCTATTCCTTTCATTAATCCCCAGCATCAGTGAAAATCTGTTGTGCAAGGAACTGGTCTGTCCAAATAAAACGTCAAATTTCGGTTCGACTGGTCCGATAGCGTAGATTAGAGGACCATCAAAGATGATCCCTTTTCGTTCGGACATTTTCCGGTCGGACGCAACCGTTCCATTTGATTTCCAGCCGAGATTTTCGCAATTTTTGGCTTAATGGTAAGAACCCTTAGCCTGTAAGGTAGAGAAGGTAAGCCCTTCGACACCCTCCTGCCCCGCCCAATTTCAGACAGTTATCACGAAATAGTGGCAGATAGTCGGGCAGCCAAGGACACTGGGGGCGCGATCCATTCAACCAAACTTTCCGGAAATTTCGGTCTAAACCTGAATGGATTGGCTCGGTCCAACCGGAAAAGTTTCGAAAAAATCGGTCCACCTTTCGAGGTGGACCACTTTGTTCGGTTGGACCGGTCCGATCGAAATGGACCGTTCCATCTGACCATTCCGACCCATTCTCAATCCCAGTACCTCGCTGTTCGGTATTTTCCATGTTTACTTGCAACATGGAGGAAGACACTTATCATTGTAGCTTTTATGGATTGTTAACAGCGGATCTATCGGTGTTACTCGTACATCTATGTGCGGTTACGACAGGTCTGTGGTTGCTTCGCAAGCCAAGTGTACGTTTTGGTTGTTGACAGCTCTTAAATACGATATATTTCCCGAGAGAATTTGGAATGCTCCTTTCGTCATTCGAAAGTAGTGTTTGAACTCGTACGGCAAATATCTGGGAACGGTCTGCTCAAAATAACCCGTTATACTGGTTAAATTGCTACGCGTGAAACAGCTCACACAATATCATTGATATCACCGTCGAAATCGTCATCTAGCTCTTATACGAGCAACAGTGATCCAACATCCTCCATTTTAAATGAGCGCGAAACTCGTTTTGCGAGTGGAACAGAACGAGACCGTCCGGACCCGTCGCGATCCATTCGACACCAAGAAATTTTCGAACCTCAACCCCGGAAATTTCGGTTGAATGGATCGCTCCCTGGATCTCTCTCCTCACTCTCTTATGACGTAACTAAGTTATGGAGTGAAACCATCAGTTGGTGGGCCGAACCATTCTTGTTCGTGGTTTAATTAGCTCGCGAAAGGGACTAGAATGGTCCAATAAGTCGGGAGCGAGTTACAACAGGAAAAGTTCCTTGCAAGACTTACCGGGTGAGCAAGTTAGGGAACTGGGTAACATTCTGCGAAATTAATGCTGGTGTCATGAAAACTAGAAAATAGGAATGAAAAAATAATCATTTAAGAGTTTATTTAAGAGTTTATTCTACACTTTCTGTCCTGTTCGTTTCGTTAAGTTGCAAGAACTTTGCGAAAAGTTTGGTTGAAGTTAAAACCGAGACATGGAAATTCTCAATTATATATATTTTTTCAAACTGAGATAATAAGATCTTTCAGGTTTCCTTTCATTTCCACGAACGCTTTTCGACTGACTCGTAATTATCCAAAATATATTCAGCTTGTAATTAAATGAGAACATCTTGCATGCTTTGACGCAAACGTCATTGCAATTCAGCTCACTTCAATTCCGCTTAGATAATGAGGTTGTGTTTCCATTCCTCTCCACAAATTCATATTTTTTGAACAGTTGTCAGCCTATAAAACTGTTTTCCACATTCAATTAATGCGTAGGCGAAAACAAAGATATGAGTGTCCAGTTTCAGGCATAAATTATATGGGAAGACGATAATCGAGGCTTGTTGTGTCTCCAACGGTTTTTGTAACAAACAGATCTTCCGGTCTCCGAATTTGGTAAGTTACTCTCACTTGTTTGTTTGTTTCTTCCCCGGGTTTCATGCGAAAAAGTCAGGTGTGTAGACAGTTTGACGAAGTTCATTAAGTACTCCTGAATAACTGTTATGCAAAACCGAAGTCGGACATAGTTAATATTCGGAGAACCACAAAGCAAAGGACAGAAAGTAAAACATTTCTATCGAAGGTTTACTTGAAAGGAAGGTTTATGAAGGATTTTCGCCACAATGGCTCTCTTTTAGATGTTTTTTAGGCCTAGTTTTATTCTTGCATGCGGCATCGTGAATTTATGCGTTATGTCTTATGGTATGAAATTTATTTAAATCCACGCAGGTGGTTAAAAGTGTCGCGATCATTGCTTCTACGGAGCTCTTGCAGATGATAGTCGCTAAGAAACCGTTATTGACGGAATAGACTGCAAGAACTATTTTGTGGTTTACTGTGTTCTAGCTCGCAGAAATAAAAAAGTTCATTTCATTCCATGACTGGTTTCTGAAAGACTAGGTGAGATTTTACTATGTGAAAGAGTCAATTTGAACTGAATTGGCGACGTGTTTAAACAGGCTTTAATTGTGGGATAAACTAAACGCTCACTCACTCACAGCACACAGTCTTTGCGCGAAAGTCCTTCTTTTGACCACCAACAAACGTCGAGAGGTTAATACGAAGGGATTGAATTTTTTTTTTTTTTGAGAACCGCTAGATTATGAGTTAAGGCAGAGTTTTCAAGCAAGAGAGTTGGTGATTAATGAACTATTTCGCGGTCTTTGAAATTAAGACAGCTCCTCACCAGAAATAAACGGTATGGAAGTGACAGTAGTTCTCAGCAGACTACAGTGATTAAAGTATTGGGCGATCTGAATATATACTAGCCTGACAGAATGTGGCTAAATATAGCCGTAAAACTGACAATCTTATCTTCCAGTTTTCTAATGCACTCCATCTTTAAAATGTCGGTCCTGTTTCACTTCTTCAAAAAAGTGTTATTTTCATTGTTTCGTCTCGAATTTGTAACGGGATGTTTCTCAATTGCTGGCTAATGTCAA